ATTGTTTTCGTTCGTTCACCCGTTGGACTCAATGAATTGAGGCTACGTGGACCTGTAGTCCTTCCTACACGGCAAATTCGGAAGATTGAGTCGGAACAAATAAAGTTAAATAGTGCAAAAAGATTGGTCGTATCGGCTCCACCATTGAAAATTTGCTAAGAGAAACAATTTATATAATTTTACTACCCGATTTTAATACCGAAAACTAATTATTCGTCTAGTTTTACATCCCATAAAGGTTATTTTTAAATTTTCCATGATTATTTTAACAGTGTTTCTGCCGGACAGAAGGAGATTAAAAGATAGGAAATGATTTACGTGTCACTGATAATCCGACCTCTCACACAAGACTTCGCCTTTAATTTGTCCGAAAATAAATTTGACTTTCGTTAAAAATATAAAAATTCTCAAGTGCTGACATAGTTTTTTTTATTTTTCTTGTAAAATAACCTAAATTTTATTTATATTTATATTTAAATTAAGTGTGTATTTAGTATACAAAGACCCTTACGTATTGATTTATCACGTATATATTTTGATCTATAATGTTAAGAATAAAATATTACTTTATGTATCAACCTCCAAATTTAAATTAAAAGAAGAAAAAAAAAATCCAATTTTTATACATTTTATAAACAATTTTTTACCTTGTTTTTTTATTTTATTTTACTAAAACTTTCAATTTAATGAAAGTGAATATTATTAAAACTTTCAATTTCGTTAATAAAATAAACAGAAAATGAAAGTTTTTAATAAAAATACAGCGAAATCGAAATAAAAACTTTCGATTTTAATGAAATTGAAACTTTTTTTTTTTTTAATCACTTTCAATTTCTATTAAAAAAAATTTCCATTTTGTGTCCTTTCGAAACAGTTTTATTCGCTCGAAAAATAAAAATAATTTAATTCTATTTTCTAAACAATTAAAAATTGCTAGTTTTTTTCCCTACAATTTTCCCTCTTATCCTTATAAAGTATTAATATTCGGTCAGGTAATTTTATAGCCAAAATAATTTTTTATTAATGAATACAGAGAGACCTGAAGGTAGTAAAACTTTCATTATGATTTATATCTCATGAAACTACTTTGCATTTTCGTGTGTTCGATGCTGTATAATTTGAATTAATATTTCGATATTGTTGTGCACGAATTCGAAGGTAAATTATTTCATATATAATTGAAAATATTATACCATTTATTCGTATTTAATTCGCTATTTTTGTGGTAAGAATTATCAAATTTTAAATATCTTCTATCCTTCTTTTCATACAAGTTGTTACGGTTATAAAAATTGATCGATAAATTTTAATTTTGTAAAAAGGAAACCTTGTTTATTTTATTTTTATTTTTTTTTTACCCTCAAGCCATAAATTTCCAATAGAAATTTTCTGTAATAGTTACAATTTTTAAATTCTTTAATATATTTATTATAACTTTAACAATTATTTAATATTAATATTATTTAAAAATTCGTATTATAAGACTTCTCTCTTTCTTTTATATTGTTAATTAGATTTTAATGTTTAAATCCCTTTCCACAAAGTTAATTTTTTATTATTTATTTGAAATTAAGCTTCGGGCCTATTTGTATATTGAATTGAAATCTATCATTTTAAACACACTTCTTTACTTAAGTTGTTATTCGTGTTTGTACAGACAATGGCCACCTGCCTACGACGGCCACCTCTAAACAGTTTTTATTATTTTAAATACAAAAATGCATATAAAAATAACCTGTAAACAACGTCCAGTCGGTAGCGGTTGTTCACAGTTTTGTCTGTTTACCCTCGAGATTTCTTGATCTGTTCTGTATAAAATTGCTAACATTTTAGAAGTTTGCCATTTATATATATTAAAATTGAGCTTTATTTATCTATTAAAATAATGATTTTGAGTCGTATCATCGCTCTATTGAAAGTAAATATTCGATTAAGAATTGGGCAATTAATTTTAGGCATTCAATTGTTCTAGATAGACCCACAACTCCAGATTCTAGTATTTATGCAGAACTATTATTTGCTACTTTCAGAAATTCTAGAGAAGTGAAATTCTCTAGAATTCCTATATGATTTGCCTCATATTAAATGAAATTCTGGAAATACAGTCGACCCCCCCTATAACACTGTTGATTTTTCCGTTTTATATGAATTCCTTGTTGTACGAGTCACTTAGATTTTACAAATACGTGTGCCGGGCTGTAAACGGCTCACGTATTTGTAAAAACTATGTGACTCGTACAACATGGAATTCATATAAAACGGAAAAATCAACAGTGTTATAGGGGGGTCGACTGTATTAATGAGAGCATTCTCGTTAATATTTCATTTTATAAAGTGATAAATATAAAGAGAAATCACTTTATATACAGTCTAATAATATATTATACTATCAAATCTACGAATGTACAGTAAATTTTTCGATTAAATACACGTCAAAACCACTGAAATTCTAATCACTTTAACGTGCTGAAAGGACTCTAGATTCTAGAGAAAGACTATATCGAAGGAGACTCTAGAATATCTCTTTTAACCGAGTAAAAAACACGTAATTTAGATAATACGACATGGTTACAGCGAATTTTTCGTTACCTTTTACTTCCATTTATGCTAATTATCGGTAGTTGAAAATTCTTTTCAAGTTATAATATCAGAGTATCGGATGTTATAAGTGAACAATGGAACAACTGCTCGATTTTCTCACCTGTTTCGAAGCGTAAAGGTAGTGATTGATGTAGCACCTGTTAAACTTCAACTATTTTTTTTTAACATTATTATTTTGTTAATGGAGAGTTAAACATTTAAACTATAATAAACAATTTTACTTAAGAAAAAAAATTATAAAATAATACTTTTATTTCATAAGTAAATTTACGTTTTAATTACATTTTATAAAATTAAATGTTAAACGTGTAAGCGATTCTCGTATCAAAAGTATTAAATAAAAATATTTTAATGCTTAATTAAAGTCGACTTAAATTTAATTTAAATGAAAATAATAATAATTAAGTAACGTAAGAGGGTACACATCACGTGGTTACGCTACGTACAGTACTTTTTTTTTGCATCAACACGTTAAAAGTTAGCCTAATTACATTGGAGCGATGCTGAATTAATTTATAAAAAAATTAGAAAAAAACAAACTATTAATAATTTTACTCAATTTTTATGAAATGTTATTAAGCTATAATTATTTAGAATGCAATTAAATTAACTAAATTAACATTAATATATATATATTTATTTTTTCCTGCTGTTCTAGAACAGAGAAGTGTCTATCAAACAAGTTAAAGTGAGGAGATTTTTGTAAGGAAACCCGACAAATTCTTGACTTTTATTTTCTATTTTTAATTCTTTTTTTGTATTGTAGAAGGTCGCGACAGATGTGTAGAAGTCGTAACGTTTAAGTCAAATTGGCCTAGCATCGTCTACGAGCTCAGTTAACAGGAGACCTCCTTCTATTCTTTACGGTCGAGACGTGACGACAGATTAAAACTGATTACTAAAAACGTAACCTTCGAATCTGTTAGGTTGCGGTTTTGTTCTTCTGGTGTTGCATTCTGGAGAATTTTTAATCACCCTCACGCCATTTCCTCTATAAATAACAGAGCGCCCGCGCTTTGTAAGGAATAATTACGCGTTATAGGGGTATGAAAAATTCATAAGTTACCATAAAAGCCTACACGAGGACCATTTACGCTGAGGCGCCGGCGCATTTTTTTTTTCTTTTTTTGGGGGGGTTTGGCTGCGACTGTGCTTAAACAGGTGGGGCATCTAACAATGACCGGTAAGGTAAATACGAACGACGCGTGATCTTTCACGCGTGACACTATTGTCACGCGAGCGTCGCCCATCCATTACGTATGGGAGGCGGCGCGCGAGTTTCATTGGATTGGAGGAAGGGTAGATCTGGTAGTAGAGGCGGAGTCAGCACCCAGCGATAACAGCTGAACGGTCAGAACGGATAGAGCCTCGTATGTCGACGGGACGGTTCTGTCCTCGTGTCCTTTGACCTCTGACCCGACACCCGACCCGGACATGACCGCTTCACGTATATTGAGTGCCTGTAGTGGTTCGGATTCTAATTTCGCTTCCAATCGTTTCGTCGATTCCAATGTCATCAACGCGTGTGGCTCCGCTCTGTACAAACGTGAGTAAAGTTTCCAGTCGTGCCATCAATGATTTGCCAATTAGACGATAAGATCGCTGTTTTTCGGGTAGTTTTTAAATATTTTCATTTATGATAAGTGTTAAGTTGGTTTATTTAATTAGATTTCATTATATTTAAATAATCACTTCTTAGAGGGTTTTATCGTTACTCTGATGAACTCTGCTTCTACTTTGAATATATGTTTCTTTTATTTATTAAATATTTACTAATTTCATTATAGATATTTCATCAATTTCTTATATCCTTTGTTTTTAAATTTACACTTCAATTAAGTTTACAATTAATTACAACACGTGCTCCTATCAATTCAAAGAAAGAGTTGTAGACTAAAGTTGTATTTTTACAATTTAGAGAAGAAATTACAGTGAAATAAAAAATTAAAGGCCACGTTCGTCTAATATACAAATGGTAATATTGATGACGAACAACGTTTTCAGTATTCTGTAATGCTACGTATTATTTTACTACGTAAGTTTAATTTATATTGAACGAGAGATTATATACAGTACATGTATACACGTGCAACTATTACTCATTGTATAGAAACTGTATAATGTTTTGTTTTCGCTTGTAGAAGAAGAAACATCAATCAGAACATTCGTAATAGGCCTGAGCTATACGAGACGATATTTTTGAATTTTGAATATTTGTATTTTCTAAAAAATAGGAAGAAAAATTCTGTAAAAACCTTAAAAGCCTTTTACTGTATTTGATTTACATTTATTTGTAGCTTTAAATAAGTGTTACTGCTGTTTAATTTTCTTTAACATTCAACCTGTTAAAGTCATATTTTGCATGTTTTACATAAAATGTCCGAATCTTTATGTTGCAGCAACAATACCGAAATGTGCAGGATGCGAAAAAGTGATCGTCGATCGATTCGTCTTGAAGGTGTTGGATCGATCGTGGCATGCCAAATGCCTCAAGTGTGCCGAATGCCAAGAGAAACTTGTAGACAAGTGTTTCGTCAGGAACGGCGAAGTTTTCTGTAAAGATGACTTTTTCAGGTGATTTACTGTATACATTTTTTACAAAAAAAAATGTATAAGTATAGAAATTTATAAAATTTTTTATATTATTTATTTATATTCCAGGCGCTTTGGGACTAAATGCGCCGGTTGCGATCAAGGTATACCTCCAACTCAAGTAGTTCGAAGGGCTCAGGATAATGTCTATCATCTTCATTGTTTCTCTTGTATCCTATGTAAAAGGCAGTTAAACACCGGAGACGAATTCTATTTAATGGAGGATAATAAACTAGTGTGTAAAGCTGATTATGAAGCTGTAAAAGCACGCGGTAAGGACGTCCTACAAAATTTATCTCAAGTTTACTGTAAACATAATAAAATTCGAATGTGTTCTTACGCTAGCTGCTATATTAACGATATTAATGACCTTGTTATCGTTTAAATAAACCCGAAATTATGTAATTTATACATTTTTAAGCTTATACGAATGATGATTCGGGCATTAGTATCGTATTTATAGTAGCGAAACTTCGCTTGTTTTTATAATGTTAACAGACCTGTAGTTAATAACAGTCTTTGTAAGTGATGCAAATGTTACCATTGTTCGTGTAGTAGCAAAGAAAACACCTATGTAAATGTTAGTATTAGCGTAGTGTTAGCTTAAGAGGCCTTGCGTAAAGGTCTGTAAAAAATATTTACTTTACTATTGTCGTTTTGGCGGCGTAAATGAGGCTTAAGTAAATATTAATATATTTAAAATATTATAATAATACAAAAATATAATACAGAATTGAATGTTTTCTTATTTAGAAAGCTAATTTAGAAGTAGTTTCATTAATTTCTTTCCTTAATTATTTTAGGCGGTTATATAATAGAGGGAAAGTATGGGATCGGTCAAACACTGACTCCCTTCCTTCCAAGATTTAAAAATTTTTGAACTCAAGGACGTTGAAAGGTCGAAAAACACAAAAAAGTTGGGGTATGGATGGGAAATGCAAAAGTTGTATGAATGGATGTTAGTGTTTGTATCTGTGGGGGGGTTATTAAGCTTCGAAGTGGATACACTTTGAAGTTTAATAACTTCTGTGCCTTTTGTCGAAAATTTCTGAAATTTTGCAGGGAGTTTTGTGTATTAGGGGAAATGTTTCTAGGAATTTCCAGGAAAATCGGACCAATGGGCAAATTTTCCTGAAAATTTCTAAAGGTTCGGGAGGTATGGCCCCCACCCTTTTAATATCTCCCCAACCAAGACTTAAATATAATGGTAACAATTATTAGGGATGGAAACAAATAAAGAATGCCAGGAAATTCCAGCAACAACGCTATCAGCTTTTTAAAAGTAGTTTTAATTATTATATAAACTATATTCTTATTATGTAAATCGAATTTACGAATTTAACTTTAAAAAAATTAAACCACAGCTTAATGCTTGTTAATTGTAACAATTTTCTTTATACGTGGGGTCCTTTTAAAAATACAATAATATTTATTTATGATGAGTTAAGATCCATTTCCGTGGGATTTGCCTAACCTGTGTTGCCCTTAATAATTAACCCCATTTCGGAGGAAATGAGTTATCTTGACAGGAGAGTGTGATTTGTACTTGTAATATATTCAGAAAGGATGTAGCGATGAACAACACTATTAAATAATTAACCCTTCACCCAAAAACTTCCATCATGTGAAAATAAAGTCAGATATCTTATTCGCTAGAGAAAATGATGAACTAATTTTTACATATTGACTTTAATATCTTATTCGGGAAATGGTTAATTAGTACTGAAGATAGTTGATGAAATGCTGAACTTTAAAGTTATTATCATGAAAACATCGTAAATAAACGAAGTAGCTCGTAATGTATCGAGTTTCTAAAACCCTACAGGGCTTAAAATACAAAAAAAGTCAAATGAAATCTGACCCGAGTTCCGTAGAAATCCATATCAAAATTACTTTTAAAGATTCGCGTTTATTTTCTGTTATACGACTCTTTCCGTGTTGTATTTCGATTATTAATGAACCACATTCTGTTGTAGAGCAGAGGGGACATCAAAACGACCAAGAACCACAATTACTGCTCGACAATTGGAGAAATTAAAGAGCGCTTACACCACTAGTCCCAAACCCGCTCGTCACGTTCGAGAACAATTGAGTCAGGATACAGGACTCGATATGAGAGTGGTTCAAGTCTGGTTCCAGAATAGAAGAGCCAAAGAGAAACGTCTGAAAAAGGACACGGGGAAATCTAGATGGAACGAATACTTCCGTCACGGTAATGCCAAACAATCTTCGGGAAATTCGACATCTACAAGAGCTACCCCGACTCCCGAAACTAGGAGAGAAGAGATCGACGATCAAGAAGAAGACAGTCAGCAAGACGATTCCTTATTTATAGGTGAGCAAATCTTCGTCTCTGTGTTTTTTGTCCGAAATTTTCTATTAATTGGTCTCCTATTAAAGTCTGTCAGCGGAGACAGAATTTATTTTTTTAAGACGAATCCTCTCAAGCGATGTTTTAAAAGGGAGTTGCCATGGAAAAATTCTTAATGAAAAAGTTAAGTTCTGAATAACTGATTTTTAATAGCAATTTTTAACAGCTTATAATTAATGTTAATCTGTTTCAGAACTTAATTATTATCTCGGAATCTATCAAGTTACTTGTATATAATTTATTTATATCTACCAAAATAAATAACTTTTTATACGAAAATATTGATTAAAATAACTAGTTTCTTACTACTGTGATCGGTAAATGAGCTTAAAACTATTGCCTACGTTACAATAGTTTAATCGTAGTGTTTTCTTCCGTCTTATTTAAAATTTTTCCATAGCAGCCGAGTAATCTAGTTGAATTAATGTATAAATTAGAAGTTAAACGGTAAAACAAATACATTAATGGAAACAATTCTAGTGATATGTTTCGTGACTTGTTATTTAATAGAGATGTGTAAAACATTTAAGTGCCCACCAGTGACCGGGTGGATAAAACCGCTGATCAATGGGCTGGCACGTGGAGTTTCGAGTTTTCTTCACGTGTCTAATGTCTAAATAGGGGCCAGTTTCCTATACGGTAGGGCATCACGTGTCATTTTGCCTTATCCTATATATAATATAATATAATATATAATATGAGTTGAAACATATTGTTTTTATTTCAATAATTCGGATCTCTGCTTACAATGTTAGGATAAATCTTGAAATTATAATTCAAGCAGATGGTTTCACGTTCTATTTCCTCTTCCTCGATCCGATCTATTCGCCCAGGAGCTACAGACACAACTTTCTGAGGCTATAAAAGCGAAAATCGAGGGTCATGCACCCCTCACTTTATAAACTCCTCTAAATACAGGGGCTCCTTTCGTGTTAATGCATTTGCCCGATAACCTTATCTACATCGGCATAATTTCTATACATAATGCCACGTTTGATACCCATTCATTATAAAAAGTTCATATATTATATCATTAGATAGCGAAGTTTCTGCCGTCGAAAAGCTGATATTATAGATTAAAAAAATTTAGGAAAAAGTTAATGGGAATCGAGTTAAACGATGATTTTTATTTTTATAATATTTGAAGTCGATCCCCACACGTGCTTCGAATGAATACTTGACGGCGCTGTTTGAAAGGTGGCGGGGAAGACTCGCAAGTTCTTTGTGGCGACATCTGGTGGAAAGGCTTTCGGTTTGGCTTCTTTCGATTTGTTTGTTAGACTAACACTGGAAGGGATTCCGAACGTGTTTATCTTCTGTTCCTACTCTTGATTCAATAACTTTAAGTCTACTCTCGTTTTATTGTGAAATTCCGTTTCAATAGACTTTTTTTTTAAAAAAGAGTAATTTGATGATGGAAATTGCCTTTTCATCATTACATTCGATTTATTCGCTTTTCGATTACAATTTATAAAAATTATATTACTTTTTATTAACAAATTGCCAAAGTCGAAACCGAAATTTATCAAGTTTATTTTATAATTAAATTTTAANCACTATTGGTCCAGATTCGACCATTCCTGTCGCGACACGAGTCGGCGATGACATTTTACTGCATTTTACGAGTCTGTTTTAGCGTCTTTATACGAATACGGTCGCAATTTTTTAAAGTTGTTCTCAAACCGAAACAAATTTTCTCATAAGAAACAATATAAAATGGATTAGAGGAGGAATTCAACTGACGTTCATAAACGAAAATCTCGCCTTTTCTCAAAATCATCGTCCAATAAGAGTACTGTATTAGAATTTACCGTTTATGACCAATCAGAAAACGAGGCCGGCTATATAAATGTACTGTACTTGGATTCTGATTCGTTAAAACTTTTACTGGGAGCGAAAGGATGCTTACCATCCTCTCGTTCCTTTTTTATACAGAATTTGTTAATTAAATTTTAATTATAATTGTTTTAGATGCGAGTGTGTTTGGAATATAAAAGAATGACTTTCTGTAAACGAGAGAGGGAAAAAAAAATTACGTGTGGGCTCGTCCGGGATTTGAACCCGGGACCTCTCGCACCCTAAGCGAGAATCATACCCCTAGACCAACGAGCCACGGAGGCAATTTTCCTTTAAACTGGTCTTTATACTCAACGAAATTCATTACATTTGCCGTGAGAAATGACCTCTTTAATCAGCCTTCTCTAATGACGTCACTCTATTAACTCGATTGCATCGACAGTCGGATGACGTCACGCGTTCCTAGAAATCGAACGGTCGAGATAAACGATGATGAATCACAATCGGACGCATTTTTCATACTTGTTTTTTCCTTTCAGACGACATGAGGACTTCGGATTCGTACGCCAGCTCCTTAAACGGTTCAGTGGCAGGAGACGAACCCACAACCCCTCTTGGACCCACTCCGCCTCTGGTTTACATGAATTCGCAATTTCCAGGACCGGCTACACCCCCTTACATGGTGGGGAATCAAAGTCCCGGAGTTGTACCCTTTCCAGTTCCTCCATACTACGGAAACGGAGGCCAGGCGAGAAATGCAGGTGGTGAAGTAGCAACACGGGGTTGCTTCGGTTACTCGGAGTTCCCTCCTAGTCCCGCTTCGTGGTTGGATGACGTAGAAGGAGGCTCGACCTCCATCCCTACCACACTTCACACGACCGTAACACCGTATTGACATCTGGTACACCATCTCCATCTAGTCTCGTTTTATTTCGTTTCATATCAGTTCCTGAAGTGTGTCCTAAAGAGTCTTGTCGGATAGGACCCGTCGACATTTGTGGCAGCAGAAAAATAAATAAAACGAACAGTGTTTTAACTGTATTTGGTCCTATTTTAAAGTTGTAACTTGAGAATAAAAGAGCCGTTTTTTGTTCTCGCCAGAAAATTTATACAAGCACAATAAATAAGTAAATAAATAATTAATTGTATGTCAATTTTTGTAGTAATAATTTCAGTAAGGCCTTTACAACGTGTTTGGTCTTGTTAATTTCGGATCGTTGCGTGTCATACAAATACAATTGTAGTGTTATAAATGTTGTAACACGCAGAGAACACGGCGTTGTTCTTTATTTTTAATTTTCTACTGTTTTAAGTCGTACAGAATGTTAACGAACGTGTTCACACGAAGTAAACAGATTTTTTAACACTGAAATTATATCAATCTTTCTCCTATTATGGTATAGACCTAATTATTATTTACATTTGATTTCGGAGGATTATACATAATTAAACGTTTTAAATTGTTAATTATTTTTTAATTAAAATAAGATTTTTCTCGTATACTATTTTATTATAGAGAAGTAACGAGATCTCGTAGGAAATAATTGTAAAAAAGAAGCATTTATCATTTAAAAATTAAAATAATAATTACCGATTATTTAAATATTGCAACCAAAATACGTTTCTGTAGCCAAGTACTGTATTTCTAAGAGTCTATTCTACTTCTTAAGAAGAAAAAAAAAGAGTAATATTACCAACTTCTGTGATATGGTATACAATAATGGATAAATTAAATGGGAAATCATCAAAATAATTATTGTAATCATTAACTTTAGGAGAATTGTCTGAACTGATTAAATCATACAGCTCTCGGGAAAAATGATTATGATAATGGTTTCGTCACGTTCTCTCGCGTTACGCATTTGCATGCAGGCTAATTTTAATAAGCGGAATGATCTTACTGCAACTTTAGTATAAAAAGAGAAATTAATAGGCACAAACGGATCCATGCGTAATAATACGTAACGTGCAATAATTGTTGATATTCACGTTTGTATTGAATCCAGATAAATGTAAATATTACGTCTACAAAGCCATATAATAAGGTAAAGTGTACACAAAATTTGACAGATAAAGAGAATTATTTGTAAAATTAATTTAAAATTGCGTATTTAAATATAATTATCTAGCTTTCTATAAAAGATTTTGAATATACTGTATACAAGTCGACCCCCTTATAACACTGTTGATAATTCCGTTTTATACGAATTCCATGTTGTACGAGTCACTTAGATTTTACAAATACGTGTGCCGGGCTGTGAACGGCTCACGTATTTGTAAAATCTAAGTGACTCGTACAACATGGAATTCGTAAAAAACGGAATTATCAACAGTGTTATAGGGGAGTCGACCGTAATTCGTAAATTTTTCCGGTTTTTTCAGTAGCGTAGCGAGGGGGGTGCAAGGGGTAGTGTATCATGCACCGGGCGCCACTCGCAGAGAGGCGCCCAAATGGTCTCCAAGACAAACTGTGTGTTTCTGGAGGGGAGGGGAGGGGGAAGGGGCGCCAGTTATGTTCGCTACGCCACTGGGTCTTTTTAACTTGTAGTTATATGTAATCAAGCAGTGGAGAGTTTGTATGGGACCTGGGTAGAGCGGGCTCTTTTAACTATTCTTTTTTAGCAGGTAAAGTATAGAATGTTGTTTCTTTAATAATAAAAAAGCAGACTTAAAAATTTTACTTTCCGTTAGTACAAATAATTTTAATTTTATAGGAGTAGGAACCACTATTGGTCTCTAAGTTTTTTTTTGGACACTGAAAAAAATTCCCGGCTTTCCCTCTCCAAGATCCTGATTACAATATTTAAAATATCAATTAAATTAAAATTTGGACAGTTTTTTTCAACGAAATCAAGATCCAAAACATTCTAAATTTGAATTGGACAATAAGTCTTTATACTGCTTGTTTGTATTAGAGTATAGTCCTTTCGAATTACATGGCTAACTCCATAGGCCACATACGTCTTTGCCTCTTTTAAAGTTATGGACACTAAGAGGGCCTTTCTTCCCGTACACGTCGTGGATTCTGCCCGGCCCACGAAAGAAAGAGGCCGGGCGATGAAGATCGGGACTATGGGGCCCGACATATGCAGAGCAGATCTTCCACAAAAAATTTGTGGGAAGCTACTCTCCCAGATTCGATTCCGGGTCCCCCGGGGCTATAGACTGACGCCTTAACCGCCTCAATTTTTTAAATATTATGAAATAGAAAACTTAAATTTCCAAGAATTGCAAAGAAACTATAACTCAACTTAAAATTTTTTTTTTAATATTTTAACAACCTGTTTGGTTTATATAGTCTTCTGCGGGTTTACATGCTGTTCAATATTAGATTAGTGTATATATAATCAGGCACTCTCAAGAGAGGCCTGGGATACTCGACATTTTGAAGTTACCATCATATTAAAAAAACAATCCATAATTTTTTTATATAATAAAATTTGACAAAAGAGCTTTTTTCTTAATATACAAGAAATTCGACGGGATGAATAATTTATAATAAATATTTTAAAGACCTGTTTTAAAGCCCTGTTAACGCTTTAAGTAGTCTCTACCTTCCTAATTTTAATATCATTTGATAAAATATTTTATTATAGAAAAAGTTTCGATTTATATTTATTTTTTAAAGTATATTAATTTTATATTAATTAAAATAAATAAATAAATTCTAAACGTATTCAGAATTTAATAAGTGTCGCCATCTGGTGAGAGGATATTAAAATTTTGTCGATCTATCCATGTAGTGTAGTGGAACAGAACGAGAATCGCTAATGAATGTGAAAAGCGATGCAAAATTGTGTTACCGATAGCGTTAAATTAGTCATTTAGTGAATCATCGAATCCGTTTCGGAAACGTCTCCAATTAATCCATTCAATTTGCTCACTTCACATTTGTCGCTCGGGGTCATCGATTCGACGGCGATTCCCTGCTTACTTTATACAAATGAGTAATTTATTCATAGATAATTCACGATTGAATTTAAACGAATTAATAAAACAATCTACGAAATATTTATTTATGAAATAACTTGAATATCATTTTTTTTCAGACACGAAAACACATTGGAATTTAATTCCCTATCCACTTATCTATACTGGCTCTATCGACACGTATAATCCTTTACGATCAGGCTGACTTGACTTATTAAAAGGCAAGTATGAAGGTAACAAGCTTCTCCCTGGTACTTACAGTATGAAGCATCAAAAAAGAAAAGTTCAAATAATACGTAAGAATAAAGGAAAACTTGGTACTAATTACTACGTCAAAATACTCAACATGTTTGGAAGTACCGCTACTGTAGATAGGGTTCAGCAGAAAAAATACTCTACGGGAACAGTCGAATCTGCTGAATGCAGCCATTCGGAATCCTCAAATGCTGAACATGGTTTACAGTTCTATATGGGTATGCGACGTGGACTTATTCTTAAAGAAAGCTTTAAGTATGACATGCCGAAGACCGCATAGAAAGTCAAGAACACGGGCGATGGAACAAATGAGACTGTGGAGGAATGTACTTCTGAAACAGGTCATCAGATGTGATTCTAGGGTCTTCTCTTTTTCCTCTCGTCTTATAAGGCAAGGTCATGGAAAGAGAAAGAAGTAGACGGAAGCAAGCGTATACAATAAATAAACAATATTTATCATTAGGAATGTCTAACAAAAAGAAAAAGCATCTGGCATCGAGCAAAGAACAGAGAAAAGGGACATGGTTGACAACCACCGAAGTCTTTTAGATAGAAGGATGGATATTATATTCTACATCGTAATGAAAAAGGAAACCATTTTCCTTGGCGTATGTAGTCTAACAAACATCGGCTCAATTTTTATAGGAAAGACTATTGTAGCAATATTATAGAAACGTTTTCATGCTTTCGCAAGAAGAGCTTTAGCTTTGAGATGCACTCGGAACAAACCCGGTGACTATCTTTCTAGAAGACAAAATCTTAAAAAAGGACAATCTGAAATAGACTGCTCCAAAGAAAGTAATATACAATAAAACGAAAATAATTCACCCGTTTTCTTTTTAAATACAGTATAAAATTTGTAAGGCCGTATGGGCGAAGAGGTTAAGTCGCTCTGGGAAACCCGGAATCGAATCCGGGCGAACAACTTTCCGGGAATTTTTCCTGGGCGGTACTCCCCGAACGTATCGAACCCCATATTCCATACCATCCGTCCGTCCCATTACGGGCCCATCCGAACCCACGATGCGTCTGGAAAAAAGGCAGAAAGTGTTAAAAAAACAAACAATAAAATAATTTATAATTAGAAATTTTATATTAATAAATAAAAATTTAAAATAAAGTATAATGTTTATAATTATTAAAAGAATTCAAACGTTTTCGGTATTATGTAAAGAATTTTAATCTTTGACAATCTGGCAACCTTCGACGTATTTTTTCTTTTAGAAAATGGCGGCCGTTGTGGTTAGACGATAAGAAGCTCTCCCAACATTTTGTGTTTACTCAGAAGGTAAGTTCTAACATTTGTTATCTTCTTACGTAATTTATTATAAGATTCTCATTATTATTTTAAAATATTAGTTATATATACTTATTTAACTCTTATTTGGTTAAATTTCAGATGCGTATACTGTCATGGCGGCACTTCTTCGAAGTAGGCGATTATTGTGACGTTTAGTTTAAACCGGGTTGATGCGTGTTGCTGATGCTGTGAATTTGAATTCGCAAGGTTTGGATTGTTCAAGTTTTGAAAATGGATATTAAGAATTTAACGTCGAGGAATTTTTTCCGTTGTTTGGAATCAGATTATTCAGAGTTAAATATTAATGTTAAGATACCTTCTGATATAAAATTCGCGATTAAGATGGGTTTACAACCAGTCGATGCGAAGTGTGATAAATGCAATGGTGTTCGTAAAATTAGTTATAGAAAAGGCACTAATTCGGTTTATTTCCGATGTCATAAGTGTAATCTTAATAGTTCGGCATTCGATGGAACTTTCAAGGGTAAATTTGGTAAGGTATCATGGGGTACAATATTCGCTTTCATATGGCACCTCATTTGCATAGATAGTTCGTTGAAATCTTCGTGTTTGGCCGTTGCAGTAAGTTGTACTACTGGTGTTGATTGGGCTAATTTCATTAGGCATGCGATGATGGTTTCTCTTATTAATTTAACAAGTTTGAAAATTGGCGGCCCCGGAAAAACTGTTGAAATTGACGACACGGTTGTAAGTAAGCAGAAATGCAAAAAAGGGAGAAAGGTGAAAGAAACTAAGTGGGTGGTTGGTGGCATTTGTAGAGAAGACAAAAACTGTTTTTTGTGTTTTGTAAATGATCGCTCTGAAACCACTCTTAATTGGGTTGTTAGCAAGTTTGTTCAGACCGGATCTACAATATATACTGACAAATGGAAGGGATATAATCATATTGATGATTTAGAAGGAATACAAATAAAACATGAGACTGTAAAGCATGCCAAAAATTTTGTAAATCCGCTTAATGGTGTACATACGCAAAGTATTAAAAGGTTGTGGGGGCTTCTTAAGAACCAAAAAAATTTACCGACTCATTACACGGAGGAACTTTGTGATTCATATTTATATGCCTTTATGTATAAAAAGTTTCTTAAATGGGGTAGTTTGAAGCCGGGCGAACGTTTTGAAATATTTTGTCAACATTTAAGCAAAATTTATCCAGGAGCAGGCCGTGTGCCTGAATGGAAGGAACCAGAAACCGTTTCAGCAGTCCCGGGAGTGATACCGAAGCGTGCTAGTGGTGTCAAGAGACAAAAGGAGGAACCAGCAGTCCCGGAAGTGATACCGAAGCGTGCTAGTGGTGTCAAGAGACAAAAGGAGGAAAAGTGTTGTCGTAGTGTAAAGAAACAATTATTGATGAAAAAAGATAATACTGAAGTTTGCGAATGTAATACTTTGTCAAAACAGCATGCTAAAGTTGATGAATGACTGATACTAATGGTGAGTAATTTGTATAATAATTTGTTTAGATTTATATTTATCCATATGTTATTGTTATTGTATAAGTATTTCATGGGCATTTTAGTATAGTTAGTTGTTATTATATTAGTGTAAGTTATGTTAGTCTATCACACGATCCAGGCCAGTAGGGTTTTCACGTGATAATACAGTAGACCCCCCTATAACGCTTAGATACGTTCCACGCTAATCGAATTTTACGTTATAGGAATGATTAAATACATGATCCAATCGCAGCCACATTTTGTGTTTACTCAGAAGGTAAGTTCTAACATTTGTTATCTTCTTACGTAATTTATTATAAGATTCTCATTATTATTTTAAAATATTAGTTATATATACTTATTTAACTCTTATTTTGTTAAATTTCAGATGCGTATACTGTCATGGCGGCACTTCTTCGAAGTAGGCGATTATTGTGACGTTTAGTTTAAACCGGGTTGATGCGTGTTGCTGATGCTGTGAATTTGAATTCGCAAGGTTTGGATTGTTCAAGTTTTGAAAATGGATATTAAGAATTTAACGTCGAGGAATTTTTTCCGTTGTTTGGAATCAGATTATTCAGAGTTAAATATTAATGTTAAGATACCTTCTGATATAAAATTCGCGATTAAGATGGGTTTACAACCAGTCGATGCGAAGTGTGATAAATGCAATGGTGTTCGTAAAATTAGTTATAGAAAAGGCACTAATTCGGTTTATTTCCGATGTCATAAGTGTAATCTTAATAGTTCGGCATTCGATGGAACTTTCAAGGGTAAATTTGGTAAGGTATCATGGGGTACAATATTCGCTTTCATATGGCACCTCATTTGCATAGATAGTTCGTTGAAATCTTCGTGTTTGGCCGTTGCAGTAAGTTGTACTACTGGTGTTGATTGGGCTAATTTCATTAGGCATGCGATGATGGTTTCTCTTATTAATTTAACAAGTTTGAAAATTGGCGGCCCCGGAAAAACTGTTGAAATTGACGACACGGTTGTAAGTAAGCAGAAATGCAAAAAAGGGAGAAAGGTGAAAGAAACTAAGTGGGTGGTTGGTGGCATTTGTAGAGAAGACAAAAACTGTTTTTTGTGTTTTGTAAATGATCGCTCTGAAACCACTCTTAATTGGGTTGTTAGCAAGTTTGTTCAGACCGGATCTACAATATATACTGACAAATGGAAGGGATATAATCATATTGATGATTTAGAAGGAATACAAATAAAACATGAGACTGTAAAGCATGCCAAAAATTTTGTAAATCCGCTTAATGGTGTACATACGCAAAGTATTAAAAGGTTGTGGGGGCTTCTTAAGAACCAAAAAAATTTACCGACTCATTACACGGAGGAACTTTGTGATTCATATTTATATGCCTTTATGTATAAAAAGTTTCTTAAATGGGGTAGTTTGAAGCCGGGCGAACGTTTTGAAATATTTTGTCAACATTTAAGCAAAATTTATCCAGGAGCAGGCCGTGTGCCTGAATGGAAGGAACCAGAAACCGTTTCAGCAGTCNAAGTCTCTATTCTACAATATTAATTTTTTATTTAGAAGTTTGCTTTGTTGAGCAATAATAATAATGATATCATCAGAATGTATTTCGTTTAAAAACATTGACAAAAATTACAATAATTACAAGTCTCTATTCTACAATATTAATTTTTTATTTAGAAGTTTGCTTTGTTGAGCAATAATATTAATGACATCATCAGAATGTATTTTGTTTAAAAAATCCTTCTCCACTGACATTAACACGAAGGCTTCTAGATTTTCTTGCGAGATATTTATAAGTATCTTAGCCTGCTTTTAATTAATTTTAACATAGAAAAACTTTGTTCAGCGGACACTTGTGTTACAGACATAGATAGCAGATATTTGTATGCTTGACCAAGTATAGAATAAGCGCCACTTAACGTGTTATAACTGAATAATATATTATAAGAACAAATAGAGCAATTTTTGCAAGCAATGCAGTAAGAGGATAAAATCGCATCTTTATTAGTTTCTACTTGATCATCAGTAGAATGTTCATTTTCGTTTAATTTTATAAAAGTTTCATTGACATTTTCTTTTAAAATATTCCATGACGATTTAAAATGTTGCAATTCTGAAATAATATTGTGTTGAGTAGCTACTAGATTAAACTGTATTAAAATACTGCTTAATTTTTGAAATGCGTTTTCAGGAATATTTAGTGACAGTCCCATAAATTTTGGTCTAATGTGCTTTGAACTCGCTGTAAGATGACAGTCGAACTCTTTCCGGTTGCTCTCTTCCACTTTCCCTGATCTAGATCGAAGACGTGTAAATTTGGTCTGGGAATGCGACAATTAAATCGTCTTACACTTGTTCTTGTTTACGAAATAAATCACCGATTTATTAGCTTTAGCTCGACAACCAGTTTCCTATTGGAGAGGGGGTGAGGTCCCGGCCTCACACTACAAAATATATTATTTTTAATTAAATCGTTTGGAATATAGAGAAATTATTATTGAATAACGTTTTTTACTTACCTAAAATAAAGGAAATAATATAAGTGGCCATTAAATTTGTTATGACTACAATCATCGCTTTGGTGGCTAGGTACAAAACTAATAACTCGCATTTCTAGTTTAGCATTAAGATTCATAGGAGTGGTGAATAGTTTCTAGCAATGTAAACAAATGACCAATTTTCTCTGTTTTGAAGGTAGTTTTGATTATTTTTCTTCTAGGATGCTTTCTGTTTGGACTTCAGATACGGGTAGGGCCGGGTAAAATGATACAGGCCTACATATATACCTATATTATACACCTTACTTAACAAAAAAATATATGAATTTTTAAAAATTAAACTTAACCAAACGGTACATTATGTACATATTTAGAAAAAACGGCCCAAATTGTATACAGCCCATGTGGAATTTTCCACATTTTTCACATGGCCAGTCCACCCCTGGCAGAGATGTGTTCGGGCAAATAGACGTGCAACCGTTGACCAACCGACCACTCAGATAAATCAAGGAGCTACCAAAAGTGTCTCCTTAATGACAGTTCAGAGAATGTTGCTGCATAGGGCTTCCACAGCAAATGCCTGGTTAAAGCACCTATGCTAACTCCTGTTCATCAGCGATGAAGGCTAGAATTTGCACACCAGTATGGCAACCGGACATCCACTGAGTGGCAGCAGGTGGCTTATTCTGATGAATCATGTTTTATGCTCCATCAGACAGATGGGTGTTGGTGTATACAGCGTGAGGTGTCTGAAAGCAAACACCCTGCAGCAATTGCCGCAAGGGTCCAAGCTGGAGGAGGGAACATTATGGTCTGGGGAATGTTTTTGTGGCATTCTCCAAGTGCACTCATCATTGTGGAAGGCACAATGGATCAACAGAAGTATGCACCTGTCCATGCAGACCATATTTGTCCCTACATGCGGATTGTTTTTCCTCAGAATGATGGCATCTACCAGCAGGTCAATGCGGCGTCATACAGCTCGCAGTGTACGAGCATGGTTTGAAGAGCATGAGAATGAGTTTACTGTACTCCCCTGGCCACCAAACTCCCTGGACTTAAACCCAATCAAGAATCTGTGGGACCATCTCAATCAGGTTGTTTGTGTCATGGATCCTCAACCATGCATCCTAGCGTAGTTGGCCATGGGACTTAAGTCGGCATGCCTCCACATCACTGCGAGTACTTCCAGAATCTCATTGACTCTCTTCCTGCATGTCTGGCAGTGGTCTGTGCTGTGAAAGGTGGTTATTCTGGCTGTTGACAGGTGTGACTGGACTGTGTAATTAGTGTCTGTGTCTTTGCATTCTTTAAAAGATTTCAATTGAATTCTTTGCTGAAGGTGTTGATCTTTAAAGATCTGTTTGCAATATATACGTATATTATGTGTATTTATACTGTAGACATGGTTATTACTCCCATATAAATATGGTTACACTTCTCATGGTTTATATGGTTATACCCCATGTTTATATGTGTTTATAAACATGGGGTATAACCATAATTGAGAGGTATAATTGTACCTGGCTGTGTATCCCATTTGCCCCATGTTTATACAGTGATACCTCGACTTACGCTACCCCGACTTACGCGAACTAGGAGTTATGCAATTTTCAAATCTCGTTGATTCGTCTTTTGTTTGAGCGCCACGCACTCTTGATTACTCACTCCCCCACACTATTGTTCAGCTTACATGTTCGGACGTGTTGTCAAGAAATCACCATATAGAGTATCTCAAGTCGGAGACTTGAGAGACACTATATGGTGATTTCTTGTAACCATGAACGAATCAAATGACGAGATAAGATTAACGAGAACATTTATTAGCTTACATACATCCGACTTGGATTTTACACAAATTGCGAAATTATACCCCGACTTATGCGGTTATGCTCGGTCCCACCTATCGCGTAAGTTTGGGGTATTACTGTATGTGTATATAAACATGGGGCAAATGGGATACACAGCCAGGTACAATTATACCTCTGAATGAGATGGTTGGACCTTATTGGAGCTGTAGATCATATCCATAGGAGGAGCAAAAAAAGTGAAGGGAACCGTACCTCTACACGGTGCCAGTGCTGGGTTATTTTGTGCCCTAGTCAAAGTTTACGAGTGCGCTTCTTATTTCACAAGTTAAATTTTATTGATAATATACAAAATAATATACAATATGTAATCCTCCTAAAAACAGAGCCTTTTTTTTTTCTTTTTTAATTAATTTGAAAATATGCTGTAATAATTCATTTACGAAAAAAGATTATAAAATACCAAAATTTAATATTTTAAAATGTTAGCATTTTAAAATATTTATCTTAACTGAATTTTAAATAGCAGTAAGTTCAAAACATTTAACTAAGGAATAAAAAAGAACCAAGAGTTAAATTGTAAAATAGCGTGATGTGTGAGGGATAAGGATTGATACTTAAATCATATACCAGTATTTAATTTAATATTTTAATGAAGTATGAATAAAGCATAGCTTGAAATTTTATGCCCCTTTGTGGTTTGCACTTTAGGCAGTTGCCTAATTTGCCTAAATGGTAGCTCTGGCTGTGTGATCCATTGTAAGATAGCCCCTCTGAAATTACTTTATATGGAATTTTGGAGACCCTCAAAAATGGGATAAATTTAAAAGTGAAAATTTTCAAATCTACTATTCAAAACTGTGTGTTTTTATCGTCAGGACTAGGTGCATAGATAGATACTGGGCATTTCTACATCATCATTATTTGGAATCTTCTACAGGCCGATATGCATTTTGGGCATAAGCCCTCATCTGTCGGCATGACTTCTGGGATTTCTTATAGGTGGTGTTACATGTATACATTCTGTTTAAAACCACTTATTGACAAGACTATGTCTTGTTTATAAAATCGTACTGCCCGATGTTCTTACCAGCATAGAGGTATGAGGTATGAGTACTGTACATGTTGGGAATTGATATTTGGCACAGAGTATTAGGTGCCCAAATCATTTGCGCATAAAAAGTCCAGACTTGTAGTTAGTTGGGGGACCGAGAATAGTCAAAATAAATACAAAATGACGACCTTCTTCTATAAACAGGCAAAACAGCCACCTCACCCCACCGAAGTCAGGTGGGGGAGAGTACCACCTGCAGTCATTCTAAACACGTAGTTTCTTCTATGTTAAATAAAATTTGTAATCTAATTTTGTAAATTTGGGAGTGCTTCAAATATGATATTAAAACGATTTTATGTCATTACAAGTGGGTTTTTTTTAACATTATCTAGTATAGTAAAATCGTAGGACCGATAAAAATTTGATGTTATATTAGGATTGTTGTTACATTCGATGACATTATAATCGGGTTAAACTGTATATTGTTTGCACAAAATAAAAAAAATATTTCAGACGATACAATAGCCACAATTTTTTTTTTTCAAAAACAGGAACTTTTCGTTATGCATCAACAAAAATTCAACCCAGGCCAACACGCAACAGAGAGAAATTTCAAAATTAGATAGGTTAATTTCATCGAAGATACATCGTGGATGATCTTGTGGTCATGGTCGGCGAAGTTTGAACGATCGTGCCCAAAAGCAGCTATATCAAAGAAGATAGGAGAATGAGACCTGCCTTGAGCATCAGTGATTCCATCTCCGAGACATGGTCTTGTCCCAAATATGGTTTTGCCATTTTACTTGTTTACAATTAAAATTGTTTTACTGTTAAAATACCATTATAGTTTAAAATATATTTACAATTAAAAGTACTATTACATTTAAAGTTTCTTGATTTAACATTGAACATCTTCTGGCACATACTCTTGACATCCATGTTAACGAGGTTCTGTTTATGATTGTAAATAAGTGATTTTAAATGGAATGTATATGTGTCAACACCACCTATAAGAAATCCTGGAAGTCATGCCGACAGATGAGGGGCTTATGCCCGAAATGTGTATCGGCCTATAGAAGATCATGAATAAAGATGATGTAGAAATGCCCAGTGTCTATCTATGCAACTAGTTGTGACAATAAAAACACAAAAAAAGAAGAATACACAGTTTCAGATTACACAACTATATTCAAAACTATGCTAAAAATGGTCTGTTTTTGAAATTACTAGAGAGGACTAAAAGCTCAAAATGTGAAAAATTCATTGCACTGAGTGCTTCTGCAATGTAGTTGGAATAGTGCTGTGTTCCATTAATTAAGCCTGTTGCATGCTTGCCTGGTCAGACATTCTAATGATATCATATTTATCAGCAAAGAATAAAGAAATATTTAATGTTCAACAAATAATTTAAAAATAAAGACATAGTCTGCCTAAAAGGGACCACCATTTATTTTATTTGTGTTCCAGACTAGATGACAAATGAAAGTTCTACATGTATCGTCACCAGGGGGCAGCTTTTTTAAAAATCTACATTTTCCAGCACTCATTTCTAGTAGATAAAAGCTGTAACACCCCCAAGAAGGTATGGATGGAAGCAAGAAAGATGTCTGTATGTCACCAGTTCCTTTTGTAGAAATTCTTTGTAAATTTAATTGGATATATTTTTTGTGTTTTAAAAGGACTTTTTAGCTTTTGGTGACCACTAGCCTAAAAAGTAAGGTCAGTCGCCAAAGAAAGTGTGTAGTCTGGAACATGAAGAAAATAAATGGTGGTCACTATTGGGCAGACTTTATCTTCATTTTTAAAAATATAATAGCCATCAGAAGAGAATTGACAAATTAATTAATTAATTAAAAATAAATGTTTTCAACTACTTGCAGTAACCATTATTACACAGCTTAGCCAAAATGATCTTTGTACCAATAAAATTGATCAACAAACTACATTCGTCCCCAAAATTAATGCAATGCACACAAATGTACATGCAGAAACAAATGACCTGCTATTGCAATGGTTAGCTAAATGGTCATCTAAATGCCTTTTCTGAGGAATTCCTAATAATCTACTGATATATCAGGAATACTTCCCCCTTGTTAACAGTTCTAGCAGATGATTGTCAGAAACAATTTTGCTGTATATGTAGCATATTATGTTTTGTAGCACAGGTGTGTTGTTATTTTATCTCTGTTTGCATGACACTTGGAAAATAGGATGGCACTTTGTTGATTTACATAAGTTTCAGTACTCAGTTTTGTAATGTTTGCTCTATATAGGTTTGTGTTATGTTGTTTAAATTTTGGACACCAATTTTCACTTGACATTCTAGAAGTAGATAATTTGAATATGTAACCCCAATGATGGCTACTGACAGTAGTTGAAAACATATATTTTTACATCATTGTTGGACTTTAAAGCTTTGTTCTTATTTGCATTTTGCATCCACTTGTGTGTACATTTGATATAGTCATGCTAATGAATAATAACAATTTTAATAATAATTTTTAAAATATTATTCAGGTTGCATTTAGTCATGGAGGTAAATTAGGATCTGGATCTGGAAAGGCAAGTTTTGTTTTGATGTTATAAACATTTAATTCATGTTTTTATATACTTTATATATTTGTTTTAATAACAATAACTCAGAAAAAATTAATGACTATATTAAATTTTCAATAAAAGAAATTTTATTTTTCATAATTATGAATTTATTTTTATCTCTGCTCTGTATATTTTAAATTAAAGAATGCAATTAAAAACAAAAATTGTTTTTATCCATAACTACATAAAATCATTCTATATTACTATATGCACTTGAATAGACTGCTATGGGTCTATTTATAAAAATCTGTTTGGCATATGGATTTATTAAGACTGTGTGACTACTTGAATCTGTGGGTTTATTTTTTAGAAGTATGATTGGGATGTGGGTATATTCAAGCCTTTGGAATAATTTAAACCTGTGGGTCTAATTGAGTGCATATTGTAACCATCATAATTCTATTTTTTATTACATTTGAATGAATTTTAAATAATTATTAAACTCATAAATTAATCATTGAAATATTATCCAACTTCACCACCAGTGTTCTTCTCCAATGCAGAGGACTTTGCAAGCGTTTTCAAACCTAATGTGGTTCTTTTTCAGGTGCTATGGAATTCCCTATATGAATTTGAATTTCCAGTCTAGAATTAACCGTTGCTTTGGAAAATCTTTCTGGAACATTGTCACTTGTGACCGATAATGTCATTTTAGACTTGCGCATTATCCGTATGTTGTTACTTTAGAGTTTTATTGAGGAAGGCTTCCCATGCTGTTGATATCTTCATTTCTTGTTTGAAGTTAATGCAGTGCTTATTCCTGAGGGTGTTTAGGCCAATGTTTATGGCTTCTAGCCATCTGAGGTGTTCTGTGCGGAACGAGGTGTGAATAATTCTGGCTAGAGGGAATAGCAGCTCTATTTCTGGGTCGGAGGAGTATACCGCTAAGGCGGTGTTGTTTCTATGATGTAGAGTGTCCGCTTTGTGTTCCTTGATCCTAGTTACTAAGTTGTGTTTAGTGGACCTGATGTAGATTACTTCGCTGTTGTCTCTATGATCGATGATGGGCATGGAGTATACTCCTGGAAGTCTGTTGCTATCTGGAGCATGTTTTCTGTTCTTAAGCCAATCGAATATTGTGGTGCACCTCCTAAATGCCAAGTGGACATTCTTTTTCTTGGCTATCTGGTTGTATATGACCTTAAGTGCTGGGTTGTATGTGATTGGTATGTAGTTAACCAGGGAATCATTGGAATGAGAGGAGGTGTTGGATTGTTGTTGGAGTACCTTGTTGTTTATCTTGCATAAGATGATGTGACACCTGCAACATCATGTGACCCACCACAGTATAAGATGGCAGGGTTCAACACCCTAATCAAAAGAGCATATTCACATTCCTCGTCAGAATCTCAAAAGAAACTCGATATCACCGTATTTGGAATTTAAAACATTCTATCCTCTATATCACAACGGATTATATCCTTGCAAAGCTAATAAGATCTTAACAAACTTATGAGAAAAACATTGTCTTGCTATACTTTGGAAATAAAATTAACAATCACTATTGAAAGCCTAAGTCGGTTACTAAATGATCAGTTAGAGATTAATAAAAGTAAAAAGTATTTCTGTAGATGATGATTAAAGTATTCAGCTAGAATGCAAGAATCTGTGAAGAAACATCAAGAAATATGCTTTACTAATGAATCTTGTTAATAATTGGAAATTTAATGAAAATTTTATTTGTCCTTAACAAAAGAAAGTATACTGGAAGCTGGCCTGAGTATGATTATACTAAAAAAGTGTGGAACCATTTTAAAATAAAAAATCTAGGTGAATGGCATGATTTGTATTTAAAATTGTATGTTTTGTTACTATCTGATGTATTTGAGAATTTTAGAGATTTATGTTTGTATAAAAGTTATGGATTAGATTGTGTTTGGTATTATACTACACCAACATTAGCTTGGGATTGTATGTTAAAATATATAGGAGTTCATTTAGAATTATTAACAAATTATGGGATGTACATGTTTTTTGAGAAAGGAATAAGAGGTGGGATATCTCAGTGTTCTAGAGGGGATGAAAATTGCCAACTGATATATCTTGATGCTAATAATCTTTATGGATGGGCTTTAAGTCAAAAATTACCACAAAGAAACTTTAAATGGATGGATTCTGATGAGTTAGAAAGTATCAGTGACACCCTGACTTCTGATAATCATACTGATTATGCATTTGAAGTTTATTTAGAACTGCATAATAAATTTAATGATCTTCCACTAGCTCCTGAAAATCGCTTTGCTAGAACTTAGTTCATCTGGTGGAAAGACTGAAAAGTTACTCTGTCATTTCTATGATAAAAATAATTATATAGTACATTATAAAATATTAAAACTCAAGAGCTTAGGAATAAAAATAAAAGTCCGCAGAGGTATAAAATTTACACAATCAGATTTCATAGCACCATATATTAAGTTTAATACTGAGCAAAAGACAAATGGTAAAAAATAATTTTGAAAAAGATTTCTGGAAATTAATGTCAAATTTAGTGTTTGGAAAATCTATGCAATCTGTGAGAGAACAACAAAACAGAATTATCCAGTGATGAAGAAAAGGTTCAGAAAGCAATAAGCAAACCAAATTTCAAGTCGAGCAATATTTAGTGAACATTTAGTAGCTATTCATAACTATAAAACTAAAGTGTTATTCAATAAACCGATTTATATTGGATTTATCAAAACTATTGATGTCTGACTTCCAATATAACATAATTAAGGAAGATTTTAAAGAAAATGTTAAATTGTTATATTCAGACACCAACAGTATGATTTATGAAATAAAAAATTTTGATTTCTTGAAATTCATGTATCAAATAAATCTATATTATTCTTCATCTGATTATTCTGCTCACCATCTTCTTCATAGCGATAAAAATAAGAAAGTAATTGGAAAATTTAAAGATGAGTCGAATGGGGAAAAATGTTAGAATTTATTGGATTGAGATTTAAATGTATTATTGGGTCGTATATTCAGTAAATAAAAAGTTAAAAGGAATCAAGAATGCTGTGTTAAAGAAAGAAATAGGTTTTGAAGATTATAAGACTTGTTTGCTCAATCAAATTGAGTAAACAGGCAGTAATTAGAAGCCATAAACATGATATTTATACTGAAGAATTAAATAAGAAATCTTTAAGCTGGAAGAATGATAAATGATGGTTGATTCTTAACTCAACAGATACGTTGGCGTATAGTCACATACTAGCTGTGTGGAGCTCTGGAAGTGGGTCGAGAATACGTGCACACAAAAAGTTTTTTTTTAATTTTGTAAAAAAAAAAATTAATAATAATAATCATAATAATTTAACGGTAAAAAGAAACCGTCAAATAAGAAATAAAAAGGAAAAACAAAAAATGAATATTTCATGTCTATAAAAGACATGTCTGTAGAAATTTCCAAGAAAGATGAACTTCACAAGTTAAAACAGTAGATGAACGTAAGTCCTAAGATTGAACATCTTTGATAGGGATCGAATTGTCAGTCGGTCAGGGTTCTGATCTTGTCATGTTTCATAATGAGTGAAAAACCAATCAGAAAGGGGAAGTAAGTCGACATTGACCTATCGGAATGTTTGGTCTTGGACCCAAAAGAAACTTATAAAACTGTGCAAAAAAAGGATGTGGCACTCTCGGTTCTCTGTTCTTGGTTCGTAGTCCTCCCATCTTGGATGTGTGTGATTCCGTAGAAGTAGGAAAGAATTTTTGAATATCGTGAAAACAAACCTCCTTTGGAGCGTTGCCCTGTGCCACTCAAGTCTCTAGGACCAGAATCACCTGAAGTTGTGTCGAGCGCCCCGTGACCTATGATTGCTTCGTTGTCTCCGCAGAAAGGAAGGAAAAGAAAACGTGAACATTCGGACTTAATCCTTGCTTTCTGTGCATTGTTCAAGGAAATTTTGTAAGAAATTCTTATTTTTATTAAACAGTGTAATGATGAGGAACCTATCTCTGAGAGTTTTTTCCACTCCCATATGATAGTCATGACTGCATGACGATCCTGACTAATGCTATCAATCAGCAAACCTCACAGCAGCATAGCTATACACATGGACATATTTTAACATTAGTTTAGCACATGGATATGTCTTTACATTAGAAACTGCTTAAAGTCCTATGGACTTTTTATTGGTTTGTTTCTGTAAATAATGATTTCCTTCATTAGATATTAGGGGCAGTCAAATGAAAACGAGACAGGTGGGAAAAAAGTAAGTAAACTGTTTATTATTTCAAAAGTAATTGCCATAACTGTTGATATATTTATCCCACTGTGAGACAAGACAATCAATGCCTTCATAGAAAAATGTTTGTGGTTGCTACAGAACCATGATTGTACCCAGGTGTGCACCTTTTTGTCCAAAGCAAATTGACAGCCACGAATGTCTTTCTTCGGAGCTCCAAAAATATGGAAATCACATGGGAGAAATCGGGACTGTATGGCGGATGTGTATGGACTATGCTGCAGAAGTTCCCAGCAAAACTTCTGTAGCGTAGTCAAAACAACCTTGGTAACATGTGGGTGGGCATTATCCTGCAACAGAATAATGCTGTCTGTCAACATTCCTGGGTGTTTGGATTTGATGGCACGCTTCAATTTTTGCAAAGTTTCTATGTACCGCTGTGCATTAATTGTGGCACCATGTTCCAGAAAGTCAACAAGCAGCGGACCTCCATAGTAATGTTGGACGCACACACGACTCGCCAACCTCACTTCGAGCACATCTAACAGACAAATGGCACAGTGGTGAATGTTCAATCTGTTCCTTCCTGATTCCCAATAGAGGACACTTCTATATACACACCTACCTGCATTACCAACTTCCATGCCACACTTGTTATATAGTCTGCCTCATTTTCATTTGACTGCCCCTGATACTTTTACATAATTATGCCCTGCTTACCTTGTTTTTATAATCATTGGAAATAGAAATTCTCTTATATTTTTTATCTAATTCTTCTTCATCTACATCAAATTCATTCATTAATTCAACACATTCATGCAGTTTAAGTGTTTTACTATCTTTTAAAGTTAAAGACAATGATATTCCTGGAATACTAACTTTTGCTTCTTTTGGTGGTACTTTTTCAAGTCCAAGTAGCTTTGCTGTGTTCTCATTGCATTTCTTCGCTAATGCATTATGTTTATCACGTTCTTTTTGATACGCCTCTTTCAATTTGTTAATAATATCTTTATATTTTTTATTCTTTTGTATCGAGTTACTCAACATTATGCCTTTACAATCTGATTCACACATTTTAGAAAATAAAATAACAAACAGTGAATGAAATTGATGTTTTTGTTTATCCAAAGCATCTAAACCAGTGTTTTTCAACCTTCTTGAATATGCGACCCCTTTACAAGTTAAAAAATTCTGGCGACCCCCAGGGCCATATTAAAACTATATCAGTGATTTTAAAAACTATGTATTTAATTTTCTTTCTGTTGAGACCTAAATATTAATTGAAAAACTAATTGTACTGTAAAATAAACAGATACAGCCTTCTCACTGAAATTGTAGTTTTCTTTATTGTAGTGTAGGACCTACAAACACTTGTCTTTTTCTTTTACCCGTGACCCCCCCGCGTAAGGCTTTGCGACCCCCCCGGGGGTCGCGACCCACAGGTTGAAAAACACTGATCTAAACCATCTGTTTTATCAATTAATTCATTCATAAAACCAATATATTGTTTAGCCGTTTTAGCAGTGAACTTATTATTACCAAATGCTGAAATATTATCAAAATTGATTTTAGATAAATCTTGAACATTTTTAAAAGTGTTGTGAAATGCTTTTAATGTTGTTATTCTTTAGTTTTGTTCAGATTTTGTATGTTTTAGGGAGAAAAAAACTAGATTTTACTACTTTACTACAGAGCTTTTATTGAGCACTTGTCTTACTGTACGTTTCTATATTCAACAGTTGACTCAATGGTGAGAGAATGACATTTCTAAATGGAACATTGATTCTCCATTGAGACTAGTGACGCTGTTTCACTGTTGAGCTCAATGGTCTCAACAACTTGAAAGACCGTTGAGTATTCAACAAACTAACATGGCGGTTTCCATGAAAAAGTAAATTCCTCTTATAGAAATCCATTCGCTACTGTGTATGCTGTAATAGTAGACAGATTAATGAACGATCTGTATATGATAAAACATGATTGCACGATTATGTTGGATAATTTGGTCAATATTGAAATATTAAGATTTTTTTCATTTGTTCAAAATTGATTACGACCGATATTTGGCCCTCTAAGTCTTTCTAATGATATAAATATTAAGAAAGTAATTAAAATTATTAAAGAAAGACCCAGTAAACAAGAAAATGATACAGATATGGGTTCATTTGAATAAAAGGATTTATTCGAATAATGGTTAAGCGAGTTACTTTAATTATTTAGCAAAACAGTCACAATCGCCACCTTCTTGTTACTTAAGTCAGCCATCTTGAAAAGCAACCTCTCAACGAAAGTGTTTCTTTTTTTTGCGAAATGTGACGTCAGATCATTCATCAGAGGGACTTAACGGAAAATTCACTGTTGAGTCAACTGTTGAATATAGAAACGTACTGTTATTCTTGTATACACAAAGAAAGGGAAGGTTTAGCCACAAAAAATGGAGGGTTCTATTTTTATACCTGAAACCAGAGCACCATCTGTGGGAAATACCCACAACACAAAAACCAGATAAAAAATATCAAAATTACATAGATTGCAATAGTAACAACAACAACAACAATAATAACAATTATTATTATCCTCCCTTTTTTTTTCTTAACAGTTTGCCATTTAATATATAAATATTTTGGTTGTTTTCCTTTCCTTTCTATTTACTGATTGCTAGTTACCTTTCTGTTTACTTTTCTAATTTCCAGTCCTTTTACTTTTCTAGTTTCTTTACAAATTACCTTTCTGTTTTCTTGATTCCTTTCCAATTCCTTTTCTGGTTACTTGTTTCCTTTTACTTTTTAAAAATATATAAATGGATTTGGTAAAACTTCTCAAGTATTTAAGGCAATGGGATTTTGAAAACAAAAGTAAAAAAGAATTTGCTAAAACATATAAAGTCAGTGTAAGAACAATCAACAATTACATTAAAAAGCATAACATTCATTATGAAAAACACATGTTTGGTGTTAATATTCCAAGAGATAAACATGGAAGATATTAAGCAGCCAAGAGCATTGTAAAACCCTTCTGGCATTGTAAAACCCTAACAGGGTTCCAAAATGCTTCACATCATAAACAAAGGCATGACAAAATAAGTCCTTTAGATGCTAAGAAAACACAAATCAATAAGAACTTTAATTTGGTATTTTTGAAACTGTGCCAGTAATTTTTAGTAATTCAAACACAAATTAATTATTGTATTTATTCAGACACTTGGCAAATTCATCATTAAATTACATATCAGAATAAGAATTCCAAACCTGAAACGGCAGTAATCATCAGAAGATGCATAAGGGCCAACAAAACAACAATTACAGAGAAAAACTGCAATCAACTGAATAAAATTTAATGATGAGATTTGCCAAGTGTCTGAATAAATACAATAATTGATTTGTGTTTGAATTACTAAGAACTTTAATAATAACCTTTCAGATTTTGAGAACCCAAAGATAGATTTAAACTTGTTAAGTGGCATCAATGCTCAGGACCTGAATGATCAACAAATTCCGAAGGGTTGTCAAGACCCGAAACGGTTGTCAAGACCCGAAACGGTTGTCAAAGCCATTAAAACAACAAAGTCTAACTTATCCAGAAAAGGTCAGGCAAATTGAGGCGGTTTTAAAAATGTAGATATTTGCTCAAAGAACTATTGATATGAAGAGATAATAAAATATAAATAAAAAAGTTTTTATTGAAGGTTAGAATTATTACACACCATTAGCTAGTGGTGTGTAATTATTCTTTTACAGCAGTTTTAAAACAGTTACTCATTTTTTTTTGTAGGTGATGAGTAGTCTAGAAGAAGCCCCAGTTGAAAGAAACAAAAAAGAATCAATCAGGTGATGGCAAAGTAAGTTCAGCACTCCTGTAATTTTTATTACTTTCGCTGGCATAATTATGATCTTTTGTTCTTTCTAGTTTGCACCAGTATAGATATTTAATCCAAATGCAAAAACTTTCGAGCAACTCGTGAGAATGAAAGCCTTTGTAGATCATACAGATGCCATCAGATGCATTGTAAGTGAACTGAACTGCAAATCTGTAGTAGTGCCTTTCCGATTTGGCAAGTCTGTCAATATGGAATCAGCACGGACGTTTTTGGAGATAGAGGTGAACAAAGAAGGAGAAAATGAAGGAGAACCAATACGAGATGTGACACGGCCAGCAAATAGCATCAATGAACTCAAAGGATCAAATCACAAGAACTATGACTTATTTTGTGTGCCCGAACCCGAATGTAAAGTCTTTAAGAATGAAGGCTTTGTCTTTGAGCATTTTGGATGCTATCCTGTCATCAAGTTGGATCTTGACGTACTGTACAGGGAATAGAATCCTACAGCGATGCAATTGACCATTGTCTGTACATCTTCCGTGAGGCTTATTTGCAATATGCGTATTTGCAGAGGAGCAGAAATTTAGACAAACAGGATGCAGATGGAAATATAAGTGCTCAAAGGGCCTGCAAGAAATGGTTGAGGCCTACTGGGAGGGTGACATTTCCACCAAGAAGTTCAAAGTTAAAACGGGCTTGGAATACTTGACCCGGTACTTGCATTTGCATTTCAGGTGTAAAGTAGTTCTGCTAGTTGATGACTTTGATGTTGTTATGAGAAGTGCAAAGTTCTTTGTAGAAACCAAGAAGGGAACTGCAGTGCAGGACTTTTCAGATTTGGTTATAGACATGCCTGCTTTTCATCTGAAAGCAGTAGATAATGCAGAACATGTGGCATATATTCTGCTTACTGGAAATAAAATAATATCAGGTCTGGGTGCTTCCTCCCGCTTGGCTGGAGTGGCAAAGTACATGTTTCTAGACAGTGATGAGTTTGTTGGATTCTATGGAGCAACTGAAGATGATGTTGGCTGTCTTGTTTGTAATTTGAAATCCAACAAGTTGCTCCTTGTATTTCCAAGACAAGGAGGAAAAGGAGATCATGCATGGGATCAAGAAACACTATAATAATTACTACAGCAACAAGGGAATTGCAGTATATTCCCTGTGGAGTGTGGTTCATTATCTGCAGAATGGAAAAGCACAGTCACTAGACAACACCTCAAGTGATAACCTATATTTGAACCACTACTCAGATATCCATCCATTGCTGCAAAAATTCTGCAGAAGAAACAGTTGAAGTTGAAACCATCAAGACTGTTCTGTATGAGATTTGCAAATACTGGAGAAAAATGTCTCCTGGTGCAAGCCCCTCTGTTGATTTAGTTCTTAGTTATCTCAGGGAATTAGGATATCTTTCAATTGTACAAGACTTGGACAAACAAGACGGTAAGTGCACACTGAAAGTAGCAAACAAAGAAATGAGAGGAGAATTGTTGAAATTATTAGAAAATCCTGCTGTGGTTATTGCAGGTTTTGATTTCACTAAAATGAACCAGGTTGTCAATGTGATGTATGAAATCATAACAACAGGAGCATCTGATGATAAATTTGTAGAAAATTAAAAGAAGTGGCATAAAATCTTGAGAGAACTTTTTTAAAGGATTTGAGAAATTCAAGAAAGTTGATATAAATGAGTCCATGGTAATGTCTGTGCTGACAATTGCCCTCAGTCAAGTTCAACAGTTAGAGTGCATTACCTCTGATCATCTTATAAAAGGTAAGTATGGAAATTGCATCACATCAAGTAGACTGACGCTCCTCCACACCAAACCAGTCCAAGGATAGAACTCTGTGCCGAGTATGTCCAAGACACTTTGTGCACTTCCAGGGGACGCCATTGACTGACCAAGTCCTTATTCTTATGTAATAGCTAAAAAAATTTATAACTCTGAAGAGTAACCGCTTATCCTGTATGAATTTATACCCTTTAAATAAAAACAAGTACCTTATTACCTATATATATATATATCTTGACCTGAACGAATGGTGGGTCCTGGACTCACAGTCGCAACCTCAATCTCCTTCCAGAACGGAAGTAGATGCCAATTCCCTCCATGCTACTTTAACCTTTGCCCAAACATGACAACAAAACCAAAGTACCCCAGCAACCCTTATCCTTCCAGTTGGACACACATGTCCACCCCAACCAGACCAAAATCAATTTAAACTATTAATATCAACAACAAAGGAACACTTTTTCCCCACATGCCTCCCAGACCCCTCTGTTTCCATCCCTACCTTTCCAACGATATCCCAGACCACCTAACTCCCTACAAGGTCGCCACCGTACTCCTTGT